GAGGTAGGGTCAATCAATCGCCCGTTGCGCAAAGAACACGAGGGGGTCTTATTTGATCAACGAAAGGCGAGGGGTCGTAACCCTTGGGTAGCAATCACAAAATTTGAAGGTTCCAAGGCATGGCTAAGCTGCGAAGGGGAATAGACTTTCAACTACCGCTGCGACGAAGCACCACAAACGCTTGGATGGCGCATTCCAGAGCGAGACTTCTTAGTGAATACGTCATGTCCCTGTAAGCACATGCGAGGAAATCCTTACAGAGAAATCAAAGGAAAGTGCAGGTATTCGGGCGGATTGGCCGCTAGGATCCTAATAGAAACCACTGACAGAGGAAAGGTTTTCCTTTTGAGGTGATCTAGCATACCCTTCGAAGTATTGATCTTGCTGGTTTCAGTGGTTTTTACCGCTTCTCAATTTACCGACTACGAATAAACTTATGGTCATTTGTAGGTTGAAAATTCGCGTTTCACGCAAATGGCCTAGAAAGGCAACAGAGGGGAAAAGGGAACAACTGGACAGTTTTTTGAAGGAGTGGTCAGTCAGATAAATTGAATTTTTTTTTCTAAAAGCGACAATCTTCTAGCTTATAACTAGCCTTTATTACGAAAACGCGTGTGCACAAAAAACACAACAATGGGACGATGTTTCGAGGAATTGGACATTTGCAACATTTTGAAAACATTTTAGACAGAAAACAATTTCCACTTTTTGAATTTTTGTGCCCCTCTCATGAGACCACTTCAGAAAAAATATATAAGCTCTAAGAGTTTGTATTGCAACGTAATTGCTGCAAAGCTCAGTTATGAATGAAACCCTCCGTTATCTGCACACAAGTTTCCGTAAACTGAGTGTGATTGCGATCGCGTGCACAATCGCGACGATTGAATTTTGACAATTTTGTCCGCCATGTTCCAGTTTTCTTTCTAACTGATTCGATTTCTGGTATTATTTAACTTCACGAGGCTCTGCAGATAGTTAGGTTTGATGACGGTAAACTTTGTTTCACAGTTTTCCTTTACAATAAGTCATGTTTACCTTTTTGCATGTTCACACACCGCGTCAGCACGGCGCGTATGCGCGCCGCGGTTTTCGGGCCAAGCTGGATTGCCACGTTGTGGCGCGTCGCCCACGTATCATCCATTTCCCTTCGCGTGTCTCCTTTCGTGAGTGTGCTTTTTTATTCTGCAGAAAACATCTTGGAATGTCCATGAAGCTTCGCCCGTAATGATCATATGCTTTGGTTTAGCAAAGGTCTCTTGATCATGTGAAGTCTTGATTTCAAACCATTCTTCCTTTCTTTTCTTTTTCTTTGTTGTCAGAACAGTATAAAAAGAAATTAAGTAGTGGAAGCAAAGGGTATGCTCCAATACGAGGGCCTTTTTTGGTGTAGTAATTCCTCCTGGTTACGGTAACCCTAATTTTGGGTGGTAAAACAGTTGCTCTTTGCAGAGAAGTAACTAAGTGAGTATTATTAGTATTATTTCTTCTAAACGCTAAAAATAAGAGAAGATGCTGTCATGACTTTGAAAACCTTGTGACTACCGTGGAGCAGGGACAACCCTATTACTTTGTTTGTTACTTTTTGAAAAATTTTTATGACCTCCTCCCCCAAGGTGGATTTGATACGACCCCCTTTTCCACACCTTAACCGCCATCATCGTCTCTATAGTATTTAATTCTCATACCACTCAACCCCCACTAAACTCCGCCCACTTTCTCCTCCAAAAATGCCGTCGAGCTGGGGGTATACGCGCGCTGAAACGGCAACTTTTTTCCTACGCCCCTCAACAGTTTCACCTCAAACTCACATGTGGTTTCAAACGGCTGAAACGGGTACGACCCCCCTACAAACTCAACCAAGTACGATCCCCGTTGTTACTAGTAACAGTAGGGTTGACCCCGCCGTAGGGTAGCCCTGTTGTGAGTTTCGGACGAAGGTCAATATCTCAGTTTGTCTAGAAAATTGGCCTCCCCTGCTAGAGTTAGATTGATCTCTTAAACTCAAGTGTCATCAAGTGTTGAATCCATCAGTAACCAACTACGGTCGTACTTGGCATTTTGTATTTATATTTCCTAGGAGGAAACATATTTTTGGAGTGTTCGTTGGGATTATGAGAGGGGAGTCGTGACTGAAGTTTTCTGAGGTGGTTTGGAGATGGGTTGTGACGGATTGTGTTGCGATTGAGGGGAGGAATGAATGCTTGGAAAGGAGGAGAAACCATGGGCAAAATGGACAAATTGGAGTAACAACGCCATCATTGGACATACCTGCTCCCCTCCTCTCGCTCGACTATCGTTTTGTAGAAGGGTGGGCGGAGTTTGAGTATGTCCCCTTGCCTCAGAATTACGTAGTACGCAGGAGTTGGAGGTGTGGGTTTCGGAGTGGGAAGGGGCGAGAGCGTTCGTGGGCCCACTGTGGTGGTGGAGGTTATATTGGGACAGCCGTAGGAGAAACGTCAGCCGTGCCTTGCGCAGATTTAAATTTTTACATGCCCTCCCCCTTCGGAGGGTATCAGTACGACCCCCGTATCAGCTATGGTGTCGTTTTACATTTTTTAGGCTGTCACCGCATGGAGAGGTGGTGGCCAACGGTAAGTCCGCGCGCTTTGGCTCGCCCAGTGAAGAGCGGGGCAACATGACATTTTACTCGTTGAATAAAAGTAATCTCCATTTTTGCGTAAATCTAGGAATGATAGTAATCGCAGAGATTTTTTCTCTGAGAAACCTACCAAGATTCTTTAAATTCCTAACTCTGCTTTTTTTATTGACTGAATAACTAAACCTTGCGGCAATTATGAAAAGGTTATATATTTTTTGAAGGTTTCCTACGAGATGGGCACAGAGATTCAAAAATGCAATTGTTTTCTTACTAAAAAGTTTTTGAAATGTTGCAAATCTACTTCTTCAAAAAATAGTTCCGTTGTTCCGTTTTTTTGTGCACACGCAAGTTTCATTCTCTAAGGCCGACTGGATGCTGGAAGACCGACGATGTAAAAAGAGTATTCAAATTTTTTTGACCACTCCTAGAAATCGTCTCGTTGTTGTTTTCCCTCTATTGCATTTCTAGGCCATTCTTGTGAAACGCAAGTTCTCAACCTACAAATGGCCATAAGTTTCAAAGCCAGTAAACTGAGAAACGGTAAAAACCATTAAAAGCAGCAAGATAAATACTTCAACGCGTATGCTGGATCACCTCGAAAGGGAAACATACCTTCTGCCAGTGGTTTCTATTAGGACCCTAGCGGTCAGTCCGCCTAATTCGCTGCACTTCTTCCACTTGACTTACTCTAAAAGCGTGAGAGTTCATCTGAAAGGATTTTCTTACATGTGATAACTGAGACATGACGTATCCTAGAAAGAAACCTCGCTCTGGGATACGCTAATCATTCGTCTGAGGTGGGTAGTCGCAGCGGTAGTTGAAAGTCTGTTTCCTATTGCCACTTACAATTAGCCACGAATTAAAGGCAAAAGTCGGGCTCCATAGGTAAAAAAAGGATAAAGCATTTTGCCGTTGATCAATCCCTTTTTGGGATGCGGCACGCATTCTACTTCCATTTGTACATTCGTAGTGGCGTTTGAATGCGATGTGGCCTATACAATGACTTGCGGGGGCCAGCCGATGTACAAGCCAGTGTTTTTTATCCTCCCAGACAAGTCTGGTACCAATCAACCGACCCCGGAGGGATGGAAGGCTTGGTTGGCCCGGGCGACTCACGACCCAGGATTTGATCCCCTGATCGCTCGCGTGGTGAGCGTGCCACTTGCCACTACACCACTTCCGCCCATAAGGGTTCTATAAGGAGGTATTATGGCGGTCGAAACTGAGTACAGAGATGCGAAGTGGAACGACAGTGGAGAAAAAACTGAACAAAACCGTCGACAAGGCCGTTAACAAAACTCTCTTCCCACTAGCAGTGAAGGAGGCTGGCTTGGGGAAAGAGGCACGTACAAGCAAGTTTTTTGGAGATGTAGGCGTTTCTTCGGTTGATACGGCAATCAACCTAGCTGATTTCACACGTTATGCCAGCCACGCACCACTTCGGAGGTGAGCGGTCCTGGATTGACCAGGCGGCCCTGGATTGAAACCGAACGCCCGGGCCTTAACGGGGTTTTTCGAAGCGGGAACTTGGCAATGTGTACAGCTACCCACATACAACCTTCAGGCACGGAAATTACTTCTCTAGTGTGCCTGAGCCCGACCTTTGCCTTTAACACCTCTAAATCTTGTAACTGGTCTAAGGTTACGACGCCCACCCCTTCTGCTGACCAAATACGACCTCGTCGTTCTACTTTGCGCAACGGGCGGTTGACCCTGCCTGTGAGGAGGGAGTTGCAAAATTTTTGGAATTTTCCTGAAGTCTTCGCTCTCTTGTCATCCTCGCTTGGCTGAAAACGTCTCGCCGTCGCTCTGCGTAAGTTGTGGGGCAGGACAGAGTCAAACTGAGAAAGCTGTGAGAGAAGATAGTCAAAAATCATGTTTCAGTTCAGCAGTGATGGAAAATTCATGATAATCCAAGGTGTTGAAGTTGCCCTGAAAAAGCAGAAACGAAATAAGCCGGTGGACCGATCCCTTAGCTTCGGTCTTGCGAATGCATCTCTTTAACCGTTATGCCGTTTCACTACATTCGGCAAGGTGTTCTGGCCTGGTTCTGGTTTTGTTTCGTCATTTGGTAGACACGTACGAAAGACAGATTTGAGGTCTGAATGCGGTATTGCATGTCTCATTCCAAACGCCCACTCCAGGCTGCCTTCCGTCCCCTGCGGGCTTTGAATTTTGTTGAAGTGTTTTCAAGAATTTTGCTACGATTTCGTATTGATTTTCCGACAATCCTAAATATAAGACAATACATACTCGGCGATTACCTGAATATCCGTATACTGTACTACGCGTTCCATTGTCTCTGATTAATAATATGTCATTGCAATAGATAATGAATACAAAACCGTTCATGATTTTCAGTGAGCAGCTGCTATGAATTCGAGTTAGATGTGGTATTGATATGCTGCGTGCCTTCTATCTGAGCGCATTAATACTGCGGGTAAGTTTGATGAAAATGTCTTGACGTATTGATGCCTTATCGGTCTGAGTCGCGGTTCCAGTAGAGCTAGGAAAACAAACATCCTTCCAAACATGAGTCCAACCTCGTCACAATGATTTTGGTCTGATACGTGTAACATGTATTACCGTAATCCACTATCATCAAATGCATAAGCACATTTCGAAGTGAGCGGGTTCCACGTCAGGGTCAGCCCTATCGTTGTTACTTTTTCAAAATTTTTTACGACCATCCTCCCCAAGGTGGACTTGGTGCGACCCCCTTTCCGACACCTCAACTATCTATAGTAACCTATCTATAGTATTTGAATTCTGGTACTACTCAACCCACTAAACTCCGCCCCCTTTTTTCTCCAAAATTGCCGCCGAGCTATGGGTATATACGCACGCCGAAACGGCGAATTTCTCCCCCATGCGCTCCTAACTCACCCAGCCTACTACACGTGAAAACCCCCTCCTATAAACTCAACCAGGTACGACCCCCCCCCGTTGTTACTAGTAACAACGTAGGGTTGACCCTGTTCGACGTTCTGGTTATCGCAGCAAAACGAGGAGGAATAGCTCCTGAATCCCTAGTACTTGTCGCGAATCTGGTTTAGGAATCACGTGCACCTGTTTATGTTGTCATCAAGGTTCAAAGCCGACTAGCGAATTCATAAACTCTTCACAGACAGCTCTAAACCCGTTCGTCGTGGCACTTTTAGAAACCCCCCCCCCAGTACTTTGAAAGTGCATAGTGTGGGTAAAAGAAGGGGCATACGTTAAAACCGTGGAACTCTCGAAACTTCCCGAATTTCGGAATAGATTCCAACATTTCAAAACTCTGATTGCTCACATATCTTTCCAAAAATACGACTTCTTTCCGCTTATGTTAGAATCAACAAAATTTAAACTGTCTCTGTGGAAAGATCCCGATGGACTGTTGACTTTTGTTGCAACCGATTTCCGCCACTAGAAAAGCATTCTACCACCTTCCAGTGCTCATTTTCTCGTTGCACTGTATGAACACACAAACAAGGAATATAATCAAACTGGGTGATTGTGTAATTCAATGTTTATTACTTTAAGTCGTGGGCACTCGATTTGATATATCTCCATGACGGATCGCCGCTTTTTGGAGAAGAAGTGATATCACCGAATGGCAAACGCTTAACACAGTTTCTTGGAATCCCTTTTGCTGAACCACCCATTGGAAACCTACGGTTTGTCAGCCTGTTGTTTTTGTTCTATCTTCATTTCTGTTAGGTTGGTCCATAGCTCCTGCAGCAAATTACATTTAATGTTAAAATTTTTAGAGAACCCCGAAAATTACGTAACATGTTTGATGAAGGAGAATTCACCTTTGTAATTTCGGCCAACCCTCTAGCTCGTTGTCTTGCTACTTGTGATGATTGTTACACCGATTTCGCATTTCGCAAGCTCTTCCTTTCCATAATTTTCAAGAGTGCCGCTTGGGATCTTCCACTAGTCAGGCTACACCAAGGATCAACCAGAAGATCGGCAGGGGCACGTTCTTTCAATCCACGGTTCACTGGCGCTTCAAGTCTGCTCAAGTTTGACTTTATTTGATGATGATCCACACACCAACCACCTCAACTGGCAATCACAATGCTGCCTAATGATGTTTAAAAGGTATCTGGATAGATTATCGATCATTTGCCAGAACAATTCTGGTGGGACAAGATGACAGTACTCTGAAATATTGTGATGATCCAGAAATATAGAGTTGAGATCTCATATGCCTTGACTCCACATTAGCTCCAAAAGACCAGACAACGCCATGATATGGTTGACTTACTGTCGTTCCTTTGATTGCTGAAGTTCAAGCTCGTCCAAGCCGATGTTAGTGGAACGCGAGACGAGTTGAACACCTGAAAGTCCTACGTGCAGATATCACAGCCAACGCGGAAGTCAACTGCCCACAGCTCGACTGCATTGCTTTTAATATTAAGGACACCATTGAATCACTTATTGCGCTAAGAAAATCCAGGAAGATTTTGGGACTCCCGGACGGAGAGCTCTTCCGTATCCACCTCATAGCCCTAACCTCGTGCCAACGGATGCACATATGCTTCCCTTGAGAACCAGCTGCTAGAAAAAAAACCCTCATTCCTACTAATGTAAAGGCAGAATTGATATCCAATTTCTAATTTCTATCGGCATGTAGAAGAGTTCTATATCAATGGCATCGAACACCTTCTTGTGTGTAGGCAATAGGTTGTGAATAATTATGGTGTGCATTTTACATGAAGAGTGTAACAAAGAAACAATCAAACAATGAAATCAAAATTAGCCAGTCTGTTACACAAGCCGGTTTTAACAGTCCGATGAGTGACCGCTACCGTAATCCACGTTGGCACTGGAGCTGCACTACTACTGTGTACCCACACGTTCAGCACCAACGTGAGAGGGCGTAATGCCGCGCCGGCGAGTGCAGAAAACCCTCCAACCACCACAGCCGCCCTTGGGCAACTATCCAAAGTACACGCAGCGCTTGACTCGCCGCTTGCACGGGGGGGGGGGCGGGTGGCCGCCAAACCACTTGTCGGCAAGTTCGACTAACTGCCATACTCCTCCTATATACCTGCACGGATGCTCCGTACAAGAGCCAGGTTCTATCACGCTCAATCTGTCGCCGTGGAGTGCGCGGAAAAAACGACAAAAGGGCACGTCGAATTCTAATTGGTGACACGTGGCGTTGCGCGCCAACCAGTCACGTGTTACGGTTGCAGTCACTCACCGGACTTTGTAATCTCTCTAATGTCTGCTGCAGGAATATGAGACAACGAACCTAATATATCAGTTAATGTGCATTCATGGCACACAGTGTGCCCCTTCCAATGAGCATAACCGTAACTGGTTTTTTAGGTTCCAGAAGCCAAAACCTAAACAGCCATGGAGGAGTCCACTGAATGCAACTATTTTACCAAACTCTTGCATACAGGTACTGAGTACGGAACTACAATTGCGAACTGTGTAAATTACGCGTTCATGAATAGTAGGGCGTTTGCGGGGCCCTGATGTGTCGTCGGAGCGCGCGGATGACACACCTTCCCTTTCATCTACACATCCATCAAATTCGGTCAAATGTTATGCTCTTCTGAGGGAACTCATTCTTGAAACCCTATCAATTTTTCAAATTTTCCTTCTCTTTTCGTACTTAATATATTTTATGGAACCAATTCTTAATTTACTACTAGAGGAACGAATCAACACTCGAAGACAAACTTCTATGAAAATCCAGCTAGAGTAGAATTTGCATGGAAAAGTTTGGCATGTGCCCTCAGCGACGCTACACTGGTGTGCATAACTGAAGGACGAGATGGAGAAATTGACGTAACTTATTAACGATCCTATACAATTGGATGAATTTGTGCAAACGCACTGCTAAAAGCCTTGCAGCCACATGAAAGTGGGCATCATACATTCCACATTCCACAGTGGTCGGTTTCAGCCTGGAGCGAAAAGGGAGCAGTCACTAGAACGAAGGGTTTGGTGGGAGAGGACAAGAGGGTGCACTGAGCATGGAGAGGTTACTGTGGAATGTAGTGGTGTACTTGATTACAGCAAGTTCCAAAGACCAGGCGAGTGTGGCTCCACCCGAAGAAGAATCCCAGGGAAACTGGAAGAAGGAAGCTTTGAATCAAGTGTTTTCCAGCGGTTTGATGTTGCTCACACAATTGTTTTGTGCGCACAAGAAGCAATATGGATTGGAGCCACTGCTGCCCCTAGAAGGGTAGGTGGTGGATCACGATCAGCTTCAGAAGCAGGTGGTTGCTACGTTTCGCAGCAGAGAAGAAATGACCTATGTATATCAGTTGCTGGCTGCAGTTGCAAAAACATTTGTTAGGATTATAAAGCACCTGGTCCCAAGCAGAACAGTCTCGTGACCGTATAGGCATGGTCTCTCTGTGAAGCCAACGTTATCTGGTATTCCTTCGGAACCCGCGCATTGTTGGGAACATTTGCAAGGTTCCTGGTCATTAGCGATAGACAACCAATTTGGTTGATCGGACTCATTCGCATGTGGCGAGAATAGGATGACGTAATGCATCCAGGACCATCGTTCAACATGTTTGTTTTGATAGTCCATTCGATATGGTGTAACGAGGCATAAAGTTGCAAGGGCGTACCAACCTCCCAACTCCTGATCCCGAAATGCTTTCTGATCGAAGTTATTGTGAGGCTGTACTCCTCATCTATATGCATCTTTTCAAGCGTGCCTTTGACCTCAACTTCAGTCTTATAGAAGACAAAGTGTGAAAGCATCGAGCAGCCTAGGTGTAAAGTTCTTAAAAAGCGAGGATTTCCTAAGGATTTGTAGGAGGATTTCTTAAGGGTTGGTAGAGCCTGTCCCCTTTTCCCAGTCAAATCCCATGGAGCACGTGTGGAGTACATTCAGAAGAGCTATTGTAGCGCATCCCCATGCGCCAACAACGGTACAGCAGTTTTCAGTCGCGGTTTTCCACGAATGGATCGCTTCTCCACAAAAACTCTTGAGCCCTGTGGCCAGCATGGGAGCACCTGGCAGAGCATCCTCTGCAGTCCTTAGTGTTCATACACCCTATCAAGAACCAGCTCCTCTCCTAGCCTCACCCTTCGACTGCTTCAGACAGGGTGTTTGAACAAAAGTATCTTTTCTAATCTTCCCGCTGCGCTTTTCTGTTAGTAACTCTCTGCACTGTATCACAACGTTTACTTGTATGTATGTGGCAGGATCAAGATAGGTTAGCTACAAGTTACTTCCGTCCCTAAGTTTTGCACACCAGTGTAAAATTTGTCGCATTTAGTTCTAACCGTTTGAAACTTATTTTTCTGCTCTTGCTGCTCTGTCACGACAAAAGCAATCGAGTCGCAGCTTGAAACTCTAACAGTCTCACTCTCTGCGATTACAAGCTGCAAAATCATGGCAGCTACGTTGCTGGAATATCCATTACCTCAAAATCAACCAAGATATCCGGGCGTAGGGTCAGCGTATGCTACAAAAGTGCTGCACCTCGTGATCGTCAGAGGGGTGCGCCTGAGGGTCTGAGAAAGCATGCGGTCTGCCGTAATCGCGACATTGTGAAGTAGGTAACACAGCATAGGTCATGACGGAATATCGTACATTTGGAACGGTCTTAGCTTTGTCTATTGTATGCTCATGCATCATATTAGACAAAAGCATAACTACACATATATTTTACAAGAATGCTGGGTTGTGAACAAAACCTTCGCCCCAGGCGGCACTAGAACCCGCACCTCTCGCTTCCCGGGGGCAAGTGCGCTAACAGTTACGCTACCGGGGCACCATTTCATTCCAACTCAGCTTTTCATGGTATACGTACCATAGCTTTCAGCACTCACGCGTCTGAAGTGTTGAGCCGATATCGGCAATGACTTCGAGGCTGAAAGCTATACACATATATATTAGGTTGTCTCGTAAATAGTGTCGCTTTTTTCAACCAAAAAAGTTCCATCTAAATCCCCATACTTTTACAGCGAGTCATATACCATTCGGGAGATAATTGTCTGCTCTACAAGATATGATGCTCTTATTCTACCTCTGTGTCAAGGTTTTCAAGTTTTAGGCCTGCAATTACAGGTCCAGCCAACAAAAATTGACCAAACCGACAACTATCCCCAACTTTATCTTCCCTTGAGAAAAATCAATCAATACTGTACCATCTACTTATGCATGACCTCTCCTAAACATTACACTATCAGGTTTCCCAACAAGTCGCGTCATTCCATTTTCAGACCTGGTTTTTCAACCCGAATACAACGGTCAAGCACCGTTACCTGAGATCGAGGTCGGATTTTTTTTACACCGAGACATTGAAAAACTAGTAGAATTTAAAGAACAGGTCATGGCTAAGTTAGGAATTTACGCCTGGTTGATTTTCTCATCTCCTCAAGGATAATTTTTTTCAAAGAAATGCGGTCACTTTCGTGGATAAAGCACCTTACTCCTAAACACCTAAAATTCGAGCTAATTCCTAGCAAGCATTGAAACAAAACAAAAGAGCGAATAGAGCAGAAGAAGTGCTCACAAAAGATGCACCAGTTGATATAAAACAATAGCGTTTCAGAGGAAGAATTTCAATTTGAAAATTGCCATGGCTTATCGGTCGGCCATTTCGAAAAGAAACAGGGCAAACCTTTTTCGAAAATCTAAGGGTGGAATGTTCAGAAGAGGTCATGAGTAGGTAGAGCGTGCATCATTGATTGATTTCTCCGTAGGGAAATAAAGTTAGAGCTAGTTGTCGTTTTGGTCAATTTTTGTCGGCGGGACCTGCCATTTCGCAGGCCTCAAACTTGAAAACCTCGGAACATAGATGGAAGAAGAACACAACGTCTTGTAGAGCAGACACTCTTTCGAATGGTATATGACTCGATGTACAAGCGTGGGGATCTAGACGAAAAATTTTTGGTTGAAAAAAAGCGACACTATTTATGAGACAACCTAATATTTTTATGTAGAACCATAGCTGTTGCCAGACCTAGATTGCTATAACCTGTCTCATTTGTACAGAGTTTCGATACGTACTTCGGAGAATTTTATGGAGCGACTATGTGGAACGCCAATACACCAACCTCCGAAGATTGCCTTTATGTGAATGTGTTTACCCCTGGAAAGGTGAGTTTCTGTTTTTGCAATAGAGTGAGTCGAGTGTTATATACGCTGGAACGCCATAAAGTCACGTTTGAAAGACCAATACTGTTTGTAGGTCGATCCGAGTAGAAGACTCGCTGTAATGGTTTGGGTGTATGGTGGAGGATTCTGGTCTGGAACGTCCACGTTAGAAGTTTACGATGGAAGAATTCTGCCAGTGTAAAGTTTTCTGAAATCTTTTTTTTGGCTGGGTGGCCTCACACTTCCAGAACGAGTTCGTAAATGGTGTCATATAACCCCATAGCTGCTCATTCTGCTCCACCCAAACGGAGGCTATTCGCTCGACTGCTCTGTGGCAGCTGGGAGCATTTGCATGGTTCGCAGCTACAGAGTATTACAGGCCTTATTAGTGCTTGTCTTGGGAACTTTCGACTGCGGAGGATGCTTATAAACTCTCTTCGGCTCACCATTGCCGTACTAATTAAGGCTATCGCTGTTATTAACGTTCCAGCCATAGTCCTCTTGACGTGTAGGAAATACAAATTGATAATTATAGTTATCAAGTCGATAAAATCAATAATTGTTGACGTGTTTTCATAGTACTCCAGTGGAAGTTCGGTGTGCACCTTCAGGGAAAGTTGCTAATCTTTGCGTCAAATATGCAATGAAGTTTCATGCCCGTATATTTTCATTCTGTACCTTACATGGAAAGTGCCCAGGTCGCCACGACCGTTCGAGATGAGATGTATATCGACGTATGCGTCTTGAAACGATGAACTCTAATCTATCTTCCAAATTTGCTAAACGATTTGGAGAGAGAACTTAGGGGGGTGTCGTGACTTGTCGGTGGTTCGGTCACGACACAAGGGGGACTCCCACCCCCACCTCCCGTCCTCCCCTGCCCGACCCCGTGCTTCGAGTGAATACCCAGCAATCAACGAACACATTAACAATATAAAAATGTAACGAATACCTACTTCCAAGATAGCAGAGCGATAGGATGAGCCCGGTCGAAACGCTGAGGGCGAGCAGGGTAGTCCGAAAGAGAGAAGGGGAGTCGGCCGTCCGGGACGCCGGAGACGAGACGAATGAAAAAATGATTGCTGTTTTTGGAAGCGCGCGCGCTTTGGAGCGAAAAGCGGGTTTTTTGGCGCTCATTGACATGGCTTGACGCGTTTGACATGTTGAGTGCACATTGGCCCTGGAGCACGCTATTTTCTTCTTGTCGACCAGAGGGAGGTCGGTCACGACAGGGGGGGGGGTTGGTTCCACCGTAGATGTGCGGTTCAGCACCAAAGTTCGGATTGATGCATGTGTTATTTTTGCATTTGTCTTAAAACATGTTTTGAGCGTTTGGAGAGCAGTTTCGTAGCCGTTGACTATTCTAACCCTTCTCTTGCTTACTTGAAGTGATTTCCAAATAGAAACTGCTTTGCCCGAACGGAGGCGCACGTAACCACTCCAAGCGCTCATATACAGGATGAAATAATTCAAATTTGGCGGATCGTAAGATGTCAACATCATTAACGGGCTCCAGAATTTCGAAACCTGCGCTTACTCCTCTGGCCGTATAAGCATTCGTGACTCCATTATACGACTTGTGTCTCTAGCTTACTTTTTATTCAAGGCACCAAGATCTAAAAATTTCTTTGATACCCGTGGCATGCGGCGGGTTACTTTGATAAACATCCGGGTGAATTTGTGGCGCCTGTGCAGTACTGTTTTTCATTACAAATGGAGGGGATGTGTGAGAGCAATGGCTGCAGCTAGTTTCTCTTTATCCGATGGACACACTGTGAAAAGCTTTTCTGCTTTACTCATTTTGTGACAGATTATCACATATGCTTAGCAGGTGTTTCTGAAGCATCACTGTAACATATGCATGAAATAAATCCTCTGAATTGGTAGTAGAAACGAAACAACAATTTTATAAGTCACAGTTGAAGCATTTCCCGAAAACTACTAAGAAAAAGATTACTAAAGGTTGAGAGTAGTTGGAGTGGCACGCGAAGCTCTTTTGCAAATGCATAAAACAAGTCGCAAAGCAACTGCAAAAGCAACGCATGCATCAAGGCTCCAAACCTTGTTGCTGCTCCTTCAAGCCCGATCGCTTACCGACTGCGCCACAGAGCCTTGAGGGCCGTAACTCGTGGTCGTCGGTTAACATGAAGGACTGGACCTCAATGGTGAAACCACTGCCTAACGTCTCTCTTCCAATCGTTTAGCAGATTAAGAATTCGAGAGCGCCGCTTGGCCAATTCGAGATCAGCGTTCCAAGACGCAAAAGTGAGTATACATCACATTTCGAATGTCCGTGCCGACCCGGGGGACTTTCCTTGTTAGCTCAAACTCTCTTGTTGTTCCTTCTTTTATTGAGTGGCTCCATGATGCTCCTTGATCCGGCAGGAAACGAAGTAGTCTGCTGCGGCCACCCTGCTCCTCGCTTGTAGCGTTACTATCCGCCCTTAACTTACGGCCCCTAAGGCCAGCTTCGTCAAACCTTTGAAGGTGGCGAGCTTTCAGTTTCTGTTTAGTTGTTATCACCCTTGTATATGACGGATTCGCGATCAGCTAGGTTTTCTTATTCCAGTAAAAAAAAGCTGGATCCATGCCTCATATTTCAGCTTTTACATACACCTTTAGAACGACTTCAGAATAGGAGAATTCGAAAAGAAACAAGGAGAAATGTAAGCGATCGGAAGGTAGGTGGCCCCCAACCGTGACGGACACGATACTCGTTTCGTAGCGAAAGGTATTGCCTAGCAGCATAGCTCCGCGCCAGTGACGCCGTTGCACGCCCAGCAATAAAACCACTCGCCGCCTTATTCCAGCCGTTCACTAGAGAGAGCGTATCGTTGATGAGGGTAGCACTGTTGGAGCCTGAAGCAATAAGCAAATTAACGGGCAAAGAACGGAATCTATTCTCGGTTTCTTCTCCAGGCCGCTTTTTTGTTTTCTCCTATGTGCATCACTGATCACCTCTCCTTGTATTCCAGTGGCCCGTCCTTCTATCGCAATTTCCGGCTCCAAGCCGATTTGTTTAAGGCTACTTTCGTAAATCTGTGAAAATTCTTTAGACATCCTGCTACCTTTTTCGCTATCGTCCTGCCTCATGCAATGCAGTCTCCTCCATTAGCCTCACCCTGAAACAACATATACAGCAGCTGCGCTCGCTTGCACATGTCTGCAATGAGATGCAGTTTCTCTTATTGCAATCGTCTTGATGTATTTGGTGATTTGGACACCGATCTTGTTACCGCTACTTCAGTGAGTATCTGCTGTCTCCCGCCTTGATCTTGTAAAGAACATGTTGGCAAACTTCGAGATTATTGGTTATATGGACAAAGATACTCTCGCCAGATTGTCATTATCTGGTCCTCCACTGCACTCTCTCGTTATTTTATGATGAATTGATCGCATTGTGAATGAAAGTGGAGATGATCGCTGACAAAGAAATGCAGAAAAAAAGGAATCGGCTCAAGACCGTATAGTGGCACTCCATACTCAGATGAGTTACGGGTTGGGGAGAGTTTCATCTGTGCTAATATAATCAGCGTGAATGCTCTGCATTGCCTTTTGCAAGCTCTCCTAGACTGGACTCGGGGACAGTACCGGTCGGTGGACGTGTAGAGTCACGAGTGTCGCCGATACGGCCCTGCCGCAGAGTCAATCGTGCTTTGCGCAGTTCTCAACGGCGCGTTGAGAGATCCTCAACGCACGCTGTATGGGCGGGGACACAGACGGCTCGAGCATGCGAGTGTGAATGTTCGCGCGAGAGAACGTATGTAATCGGGCGAAACTGCGCAACGTGGCCGTTGAGAACTGCGCAACGCACGGTTGACTCTGCCCTGCCTGGCCGCTATGAGCGACACGGTCGCCGTGAGACACGCATCGTTTCACACCTTTGCGAGGGCTCCTTTGCTTTGCAATAATAATCATATAACATTTCCTCTCAAATTTATCGTAGAACCTTCTCTAAACTTCCATCGTTCCCAGTAGAATCCTAACATGCAAGTATTTTGTAGAACTTGTTGAGAGTGCCATCAACGCTTTTTTGAGCGTTCAAAGTGTTGAGTCGATGAAAATATTTAGACAGGCTTTATTACTACGGTTCCAATCGAGGTACAGATAATACTATTTGCAAACTATATAGATGTACGTAACTATGTGTACGAAATGAAATAAATAACACGACATGGTGTTGCTACTGAAATTTGATGTTATTATGTTTCTACCTTCAGCATTTCATATTTAGTCTAGTCCACGATAGTGTTTATGTCATGTGAATTTTCAGCGAGGAAAATGTTATCCTGGTTTCGATGAACTATCGCGTATCGATGCTTGGATTCCTCTATTTGGGGAAGCGCGAGGCACCAGGAAACATGGGTCTCTGGGATCAGCAACTGGCGTTGAAATGGGTTAGTTTCCGAGCAATTTCTCTCCGATGGAACGTTGCAATGACAATCACACCAGTAGTTGATATTTTTATTTATTTATTTATTTGTGCCTGTAAAACGCCTTTAAAAATAAAACGACCACTAAGATAAAAGGAATTCCGACTAGAACTGAAAATACCAGTAATAAACCAACGGTCTGAATTTTAGTTCAATAGACCATCTGCGAACAGCTAAGGTGGGTGTCATAGTCAGCGATCCGTCGGGCGATTCGCGCGGGATCGGAATCAGTGCTGCGAGATGCTCTGCAGCATTTTTGCTTGTTATGATGATTGAATGACGATGACTCATGACTCTGCTTGCTTCATATTCAGTTCTTAAATGTTCAAATGGCACTTGCGATTTGTGCGAATTGCGCGCTAAATCTCGCGATCGATCGTGGACACTGTCACCAGTCTGAGAATATGAAGAAAATATCAACTCATCGTAATTTTCTATGCTCATTACAATAAATGAAAAGATGAAAAATCATCGTTTTGTCGACGAGACAATTTTCAACGCGTAAATATTGTGCTATCCTTCAGTGTGCAGTTTCCTCAATTTTGAGGTCCCACACGAGGGGACGGTAAGCGAGAATTGTACGCATAGTTATTAGATTTTAGACAATAGTGAGCCGGCCCTGCCACCACTTCTGAGGCAGTGATCACATTTCCTGAAAAACGGCGCGGTATTCGAGACGTTTGATTAAGTAAAACATTCACAGTCAGTGCACTGGCTGGTGTGGCCTTCAAAGACGGACTTCATGATTAGAAGGCAGTCCACTGGAATCAACTTAGAAGGGGTTAGTGGTGCCGCGATGAAGAAATTTCCGTGAGAAACGGCCCAAAATCCAAGAAAAGAATCCCTTTCCTTAGCCGTTGGTCGCACTGATCCGACTCTCGCTGGTTGCCCTCGTTAACGCTAACGCTTTTTCTGCTAAGCCATCAGAGACTGGTTAATCAGTCGGTGGGCGTACCGCGCCAATAGCGCTGCGCGCAGGGCCATGGGGCATATCCTTCGCTGCGAATCTCGTGCCGGTCCGCAAACTTAGGCGGTCAGCCTGTCTTTCTACTGGGTACGTTTCCCTTCTTCGAAGTCGACCTTATCGTTTACTCCTGATTCAGCTTCGTTGCACTAATGACCTTCAATGACCTCATCAAAACCGCACCCCTCTATCCATCGTCATCACTGCCTTTACTGATCGCAAACCCCGCGATTAGAACTACTAGTAGGATGGACACCGCCAGAGAACTAGTATGGTCCGTACCGTAAAGATAACGCCAGCTCCATTGCCCAACTTGCGCGATTAGGACGCTAATCCATCTCTCGACCAAAATGCTCTCTCGCGTGTTCTCTCTTCTTTGATCGCCCTGCTGCATCATTATCCGTTCCAAAACGACCTTACTGAAGTTTAAAGCCTTAGTTTTAGCGTTTCCGAGAATTTCTCTTGCTTTCCTTCCCATATTCAGGTCGCTCCTCAACTAAGGCATCACTACGAAGCACCCGTTTTATCCCGGGGTTAAGGCAAGATTCAAGCTTGAACTGGTGAGATAATTCTACTCTGAGAATTCTCTGGCGGACACGCCCCCTCGCGCGCGGCCGATTGGCTAAGGGCGCGGCGAGTTTGACATACTCTCATCCGTCCACGTTTTTTCTCTTTTAACTTTTCATATCCTATATCCTCTTCGTTTTGCCGTTTAACTTCATGTTTCTTAAGCGTCACTTCAACAAACGTTCCACAACAAGGAGTGGCGCTATTGTAAAATATGGAACATCCTCTAAACTAGGCGTAGAAGGGCGAAAACCTCGGGGAGAACGAAAATTGCTCAGGAGTTCAGTAGTTTCTCCTCCCGCAGAAGGTTCTAACCGTCATCTCATTATCTAAAATAAAAAGCTTCGTGTGTCCACTTCTAATTCGGGGAAGGAGACATTCCTGTCAAAGCCTGTGCATTTCACCCTCTTCCACATATTTTCGAAAAAAGGGCACATACATAAGTGTTAAACAATCACATAAACATGTTACTTGCTTTGTTGTGTTTGCTTTTACAAACAATAACTAATCATAATCATTATAATATGTACCTGCTGAGTGCAACCTAATCGTGTTAGTAACATATTGAAAGTGACTAGCTCCAATAAGTTGCAGTCGTGGACATAGGATTAACTTCTGCGAAGAATTAAGAAAAGTGCACTATTATACGATTACCCACCATCCAATAAATCGCGTTATATCGATTTTACCATAAGGTTTTGGCAAAATGCCAGCTGGCCGTTGCAGCCGGGCTGCTCGACTGCCACATCGCCGTTTGCCGCGGCCGTTGACCAACGGTCGCCGCGCGCGGCGAGCCGACCTGACACAATCGGGAGATCTGATATATACCCAGAAGAGAGAGCATAGCAGCTCAGCATTGCCACGCAGACAAAATATTGAGCGGTGGGCGGAGCGTGTCGCAACAGGTGGAGCGTGTCAAAGTCCTTGGCCCCTAGCGCCTTTGACGCATGATGCGGGAACTCGGCGAGTCGCGTGCAGCTGCGTCCCATGCACTTCTAGCCACTTCAAGGGCTTATTAGGTGGGTCTGAGCCCGAACTTTGCCTCTAAGAGTAATGAGAGCGTGCTTTACTGTTCAGCTTTGTAATTTTTTTCGTTTACCTTACAAGTTTTCCCTCTTCATAGATCTACTCTCAACATCAATGTGTCCTTATGTTGGACGACTTGAACAGCTCCTGTAACAAATAAAGATCTGCTCTGGAATTGACTTGCGATAATTTCATTTTAGGTGCATAAAAACATTGATGTATTTGGTGGAGATCCTACCAGAATCACTTTGTTTGGAGAGTCGGCAGGAGCAGCTTCAGTAAACATGCACATGTTGAGCCCACGGAGTACTCCCTATTTCCAGGTGATTCTACTCAAACTTGAATTTCTTACTTCTCGAGAAACAAGCCAACATGGATACTGCGATGGGGGTTTGGTCCCGGAATGACTTGAAGGAGGCCTTCTATGCCCGAATCGATAAACATTATTGGGTTGTCCAGAAAATCCTGCGACACTTTGAACAAAGTTCTTTAGGAAAGGACCAAAACTCTTTCCAGTAGTTTTGGTATTTGATTGCTGCAGTGTATCTTCGGAGGTTTCGGCAGAAGCGCAAATGGAGGCTACGTGTGGCGTTTAACTGTTTCAAACTTGTCTCTGAATCAACACATCTTTCAACCTATTTGATTTTTCGAGCTCCTGTAAAGCCACCCCGTTTGTGTCCTTGCAGCTAGCACCTGTGCTAGAGTCAGGAGAGATGTTATTCACTAGCCCATGGTGTCCCTGGCCTTGTTCCCTCGCAACTGAGATATTCTGTTCGAAATGGGGCACGGAGATGGACGGCAGTAGACGATGACTGGCAAGCATTTACTCAACTTCCAAGAGGCGCAGCCGGTTGGTACCAGAAGCAGGTTAACAAAAGCGCCTATGTGCATTCATTCGACAATTGCCGAGGATCTGCACGATCTCGGTTACGGATCAGTATGTTCGCCATTAACACCACATAGGTTGCGCCATTCTGGAGAGGCGAGCCGTGTGACCATAATTCAGATTTCTCTTCTTTTTTCGCATCAAAGGATTCTCTTGACAAAAATGACGGCTAATGGAAATAGCTCTGGCCTTGACTGAACTACACTTATAAGTACAGGGTATCGACCATTGTCGGGTTCAACAACGTTCAAAATTTGGCCGAATCCATGCGTCAAATAACGCGAAATTTCTCGATACGGTGTTGCCCCACCGTAACCCGTATCTGTATGTGGCGAAGGATTACACATGAGAAGATCGTGGATTTTGATCGGGAAATTCTGCAGTGCTTGGCTTACTCGCCTGACTTAGTCGTTCCTAAATATTGCGTAATTAGTACACTGGAGCGCTATCTCGAAGAGCAAAAATCCAATGATTGAGGTCACCTCGAAAATTGGATGAAGCGCTTCTCTTCGAAGCAAACGCTGAATTTCTAAAGTAAGAGGGTTGAGAAGTTCTCCAGAAAAGGTACACGTCTCCTACGTGCTACCGGTGATAACCGTGCTGATTGATGCTCCCATTCAACAAAAAAGGTACAGTCAAAATCTTGGACAAAGTGTCGCAGGATTTTTTGGCCAACCCAATACTATCTGTTCTGTTTTCCTACTGCGCCCGACTTTCTTTCGCACAGGCAGCACTAGCAGGATATTAAGGGTATAATAAAGGATTATTTATGCTCATTAGTAAGTCGCAAACGAAGTAAAAGTTAATAAATATATGTATGTGATGGTAAGCATTATCGTGTAGTTACCATTCATTACTCAAGGCGAAATCCTATTCGAATACAACACAATGGACACCGTCCTCGGCGCCCGGTAAATTCTGGGATTGCCGGCTGGGGGGTGCAGCACTGATGACTTTTCCACCTTTCTCGAAAATTGGTTAAAAAAATTCGAAATGGTCTATTGTTGGACGCTGAGGTTAATTTGACCTCCTGACTATGAATATCACACTTGTTTGACGCAGAAAGGGCTTGATATCACACTTGTTTGACGCAAAAAGGACTTGATATCACACTTGTTTGACGCAAAAGACTAAGCTCGCCGAGGGCACGAGTGCACCCTGGAGCGATTGATCTCAAACTCATCAAAAAGCAAATTCCGGTTGAGGAGTGAGCACTGGAGATTCATGGCACACTACAGTCAAGTGTGCAATCACAAAAATGCAAGTAGAAGAGGTCAAGGAGGCTCCGAACCACTCACCTTCATACTATGGCCGCAAACCATTAGCCCATCACAATGCGTGAATTGCCACTGGTTTCATCTGATGTTTACACGTTGAATACTGTATGGACTTCACGGAAGAAAGATCTTCATGATCTCCTCCAGAATCAACTGGTAAATGAGATGCAAATTCGGGACCAGCGTCCGTAACATTTTCTATGGTATGCGCCTTACTGCATACGGCTTTCGCCCGACATATTTCAGTCATGCCAGCCCTTTTAGAGGTTTCTTATCTGTACCAAAATGTTTCCTACCCTAAAAGCGGGATCCGAATCTTTCATTAGGAGACGCTCATGTAGAGAAGGCCCCATACAATGCCAATACTTCATCCCATCAACCGTCCTGACGCTTACGCTCACTTATTTTCTCTGTCTTTGAGCCATGCAAAAAGCTAATTGAATTCCTTGCTCCTCACACCGCCGTTGTTGGTATATGTACAGTCAACGTGGGGGAGCCTCCGCTTCAACTATGCTCTGTCGTGAATCGTTTTACTTCCATCTAGACCTTCTATTCGCCTCAAAGCGGGGGGTCACAATAAGGTAGTACTGGGCTCATAGTGGAACTGGGGATGCTAAATAATGCCCCAGTGGCGGAAAAAAAGCTAAGAAATCCGTGGAGAACGCGCAAAATGGGACCCCTTTCTTTGCGCGCTGACCTCCGATAATGGACAAGCCAGCAACTGATTAAAGGAAGCGATCACGCTGGCTTCCACGCTGGATTTGCTACCCTCGCGTTATCAATCGATAAGGTGTGAGGCCGTAATTGTTGGACGAGTGTAAGCCCGTGGAAGATATGATACGATGAGATAAGAAGTGCGGCTGCTTGATAAGCGTGCACTCCAGAATGAAAATGGGACGATAACCATAACGGTGTCATATCTAGCACGCTCTTATCGTACCCCTTTCCACATCGATAAGTCTTGGTTTTTGCTGAACGGAAGTAGATTTCGGCGCCTTATCACTCCGTCGACAAGGCGCCACTGCCACTGAAACGTCACGTGTACTAACATTGGGCAGGACCCCTATCCACTCCAGTACACAGACTTCCTTATCGTCCCTACGAGAATTATCGTGACCACTTCCTTTAAGATCGATATAAGATGTTGCACATTGTAAACCGATAGCCATCACTATACTAGCAAAGCCCATGCTTTGATCGGTAACGCGTTCCATGGGAATGTTATAAGTTACGTACTCAAAGCGGAATACCCCATCAAAATGATAAACGATCCCTGCTGCTGGGGCGGAGCACAGGCGGTGGCGGAACTCAGAAAGGAATGCCAAGCCCAGTACGCTGCAGCTAGCGCACCTTTGGCCACAAAAACGCCAAGTTTCTCTCCCATCGGCCCCTTACCACTGTTTCCAGTGTTGTATGAACTTCTACGCTGCACTCGCACTTGATCGTAATCCCTCGCTTTAACTCTTCTTTCAAAAAGGAATTTTTTCAGATTCTCAGTTGCACCTTGCTTTCTTTGCACGGTTTTCTAGCGGTTCCTTCTTGAAGTAGCTTTCGTTAGTGTTCTTGTTCATTAATTTAATAATGCTTATGATAAACGGTGGTGGAGCTATCACTGAAGACGTGTGAGTCGTGAATTTACCAAGCGGTTAACTGTGACATGTTTCAGAGAGCCATCATTCAATCCGGTGCTGCTACAGCACCTTGGGCAATTGAACCACGTGATGTAGCCCTAGCACGTACAGTTGTACTCTACAATGCGATGAAGTGTGGTAACATGAGCCTGCAGAATCCCGACTATGACAAGATTCTCAACTGCTTTCTACGGGCCGACGCAGATCTTATAAGGTTACAGATATTGATTTCTGCTCTTTATGTAATTTTTTCACAAAAGCATGATTAGAATCGCTCCAATTCACAAATAGTAGATTGTGTGTTTTGAAACCTTTATCAGCACAGTAAGGGCACCCATCATACTTAGTGGCGCTGGGCTACCCGGCACCAATTGCTATGTCTATCTTGGTGGACTCATATCCATGGACAACATCTTGCACACAAAGATCATGAGGAGCAAGAGATGTGCATGGATATAGCAATAGCATGCATCAAAGAGGCGATTCAGTTCATACGGCGAGAAGGTACGAGCTGACCTATTCGATTAAATGGCCCGCATTCTGCTATGCATCGGAAACGTGGGCAGAGAACAAGGCGTCCACGTTAATGATGATACATAACGAGCACGGGAGCGGGCATTGTTGGACATTAAGACAGGAGCAGAGAAGCCGCAACTTCCAACTCAGAAAAATCCTGTCAGGGCTGCATTTCCAACGACGTATGGATGGACCGAAAAGCCCTCTCTGTGAACGGAATCCTGTGCTCGAGACGGTTGGGTGATGTGTGATCCACGATGTTGGTAACTGGACATTTTCGTGCGGTTTTTTTTCAAAAGCTGCTACAATTTGGTTGAAGATTACTTCCGAAATGAGTGCTTTACCTATTTCCTGAAGAAAAACCGTCGAAGGCAGCCCTGAAATTCACCGGAGAAATTCCTGTATGACCTGCATAGCACAAAACAGACGCACAACTTCCGTGTCAACGTTTTCGACCTAGTGATGGATAAATGAGCCATCTAAATTGGCTGATTTGTGTTCCTAAATGATCTATTGTCAATCTCTAGGCAACATTGGGAAGGGTCTTGTTAAGCTGGTGGCAACGACATCATCGGGCAAAGAGAACACTCCCATGCGGTTATTGTGCCATTCTTCAGCAATTTTGTACCCTTTACAATTCTTTTACATGTGGTTAGTGAAGTGAAATTCAGTGAAATTCTGTGCCGCACTCCATACATCGTCCTTTTCCCAATAGCTTTTTCTGATGGATATACCTTGTGTTAAGGCTTTTGCAAACTATCTCGGGGCCATAATTGAAAACACTACCACAATGCATCACAAGCTGATTGATGGCATTTGCCTCTTTTCGTTCCATCGAGCTCCTCAAGTTATGGCCAGCAGCGCCTAACGCCATTTTCATGCTGTACTTTTTTCATGTGATGTCCACATTTCTGTGTGACCGGAAGACTTAGCAGCTTATTCTGCTCCTATAGTCTCATTCAATTCCTCTAATCCTTCATAAATTATGTGTTTGCCTCATCCTCAATTTTAGTGCTCATCACTGTTTGTCACCTTGCACACCTCTTGTAACTCGCACACTCCATGATGAACAGCATTTGTTTGTATTCAATATCATAGTAGCAGAGCTTCATCTTTGAAGCCACTGTTCATTCTTTCTATATCCTAATACAGTGATGCAAAATCATAGGTCACCTCCCAAAAATATGAATATGTCGGCTTCTAGAAAAAGCCGTCTATCGCAATTGGTAGAATCAGACCGCCTCTATAAAAAGCATATACAAACAATTAGCCAGATCATCCGAATAGCTTTCTGTATTTTTAGACAACTTTTTAGTTTTGTAGTCGTTGTAAAATCATAGGGCACTCCTCGGAAGCAGGGTGAACCCTATCGTTGTTACTCTTTGGAAACTTTTTACGACCCCCCCCCCTTCATGGGTGATTTGAAACGACCCCCTTGTATGTAATACTTGTGTAGAGACAGTGTTTACCATCAATATTTATTGCTACGTAAGTCCCTTTGGCCTCCTAACGGCATTTGTTCACGGTGAGAAGCCGTCGAACGAAGAATGTAAAAAGTGAGGAGTTTTTCTAACATGTTATTTCAGGTAGTCAGGAAGATATAGGTGGATATTGGATTGACGTGGGTCCGTCTTCCTGAAGAGTGCTCATTTTTTCTCAAACCCTTCACAATGAATAAATTATTAGGCAAAAAATAAAATTGCAAGAGAATTTTTACACTCCTCTTTCTAGGGCTATAACTTCCTTCATAATCGAGCATCTGCGCCGAAGTGATTCGATTTGGAAAACTCAAATTATTTTCTATCCAACCATGGGTAAAAATTTTTTCGGAAGTCAATTTAGTAAAAATTTTGTACGTTGTTACTTTTTTCTGTGCAAAGGCGACTTTTCGACCTAACGATCATAACTTCCTTCAAATTCATTCACTTGAGAAGCTGAACACGTATGACAAACTACAGGATTCAAGCTTACTTACGAGCACCTAAGCGTTCTGAAAGATCAGTAGTTCAAAAATTAGTCCCGTTGTTACTTTTTATTTTGAGGGGTATTCTTCAAGCCATTTTCTCAAAAACGCGATTTTTTTTTAGGTTTCACTGCCCGTAACTTCTTGGAAGACCAATTTTATGTTTAATTCAGGATGTGCTAGAAAGCTCCGAGCATGCGCTTACACTACATCCCTTGCCTTGGTGCGCGCCACGCCTCGGGCGCCCTTCTAATTCGCTGATTCATTCGAAAGCTCATTTAGAGGGAAGCGTTGTTTAAAGATGCTCTAGTACCAGTCATCTTACAAAAACGTAACGTGCTGGCTATTATCCGATATTACCAAGAATCCCACTGTCGGCCACCGAGAGAGTACGACTCCCCCTCCAAGCTCAACTGAGTACGACCCCCCCCCCGTTGTTACTCGTAACAACGTAGGGTTGACCCTGCTCGGAAGTCTCCTTACAGTTGAATTTTTTTTGTCCATCCAGCAGCGATGGTAGCACTTGTCCGGTATATGGTAATCCTATTAGAGTTACGGTTTGAGTTGCTCCCTTTCCCTCCGCGAGAGAAAGCCAGGCTTTCCTTTTATACGCGCCTGATGGCTCTACCATGAGCATCGAAGAAATTTGTAGGAGCTCAAAGTAAACCATAGCTTGGTGCTCCAAGTTCTCACTACAATAGAAAAGAGCGCACCAGGATAAACAGCAGAAGTTCTATAAAAGGATTAGCTATAACCTCGAAGATTACATAAACATTACCATGTTCGGTCAACCTGTGTCAGCTCCACGAAAGAAAGAGAATAGAAATGAAATGTTATAGCAAAACCACTGATATGGACAACTAGCGTAGGGTCCTGCGAAGCGTGCTATGCTCGTTAGGTGTTCTGACTGGAACCAGAGAAGAGAAATATCAGGTCTGGATGAGGTTACGCACCACCATCATTAGGAAACGATCACGAAATTTTGTTGAAGGAATGAGTCGAATCTTGACCCATATTTCTTTACAAGTGAACAGCAGTCGTCTGAACCATCAGTGTTAAACTACTCGTTTCTGAAGAAGCGCGATCTGAAAGGAACAAATTACTCTTTATTTCGAATGGAAAATTGCTCAACAAAAAACAGCTTCGGTCCAGTCTTTCGTTAGATTTCTCTTCTCTGGTTTCACTCACAACGCCTAACGGGCATGGCAGCAGCTTAGCAAGACCCTGCGCTAGTTGTCCATATCAGGGCTTTTGCTATAGGATTTCATTTCTATCCTCTTTCTTTCGTAGTGCTGACACAGGTTGGCTGTACATGGTGATTTGTTCGATGTAATTTTCGATGTTACAGCTAATTCTTTTAGAGAACTTCTGCTATTTATGCTGATGCACTCTTATTTCTATTCGTATTTGGAGCACCAAGCTATGGTTTCCTTTTAGCTCTTAAAAATGGCTTCGATGCTCATGGTAGAGCCATCAGGCGCGTATAAAAAGAAAGTCTGGCTTTCACTCGCGGAAGGAAAGGGAGCCACTCAAACCGTAACTCTAATAGAATTACCATACACTGGACAAGTGCTACCATCGCTGTATGGATATAAAATTCAATTGTAAGGAGTTTTCCGAGGGTGTCCTATGGTGTTGCGACAACTACAAAATTTAAAAAAAATTGTCCAAAACACGGAAAACTATTCGGGTGATCTGATCTGTTTGTATAGGTTTTTATAGAGGCGGTTCTGATTCTACGAGTTGCGATAAACGGCTTTTTCTAAAAGTCTTTATATTCATATTTTTGGGGAGTGTCCAATGATTTTACGGAACTCCATGATAGCAATGGTATTTATACGTCATGTACTTACCGTTCCATATTTTTAGGGAAAATGAATGGGCACCTGTTCGCGAATTTGCCGATTTTCCATGGGTGCCAGTTGTGGACGGTGATTTCTTGATTGAGAGCGCCCACACGTCGCTGAGACAGGGTAAGAACTCAAAATCTTTTGGAAAAAATGATAAGATGTAAAAAATTTCTTCTGTGGCTCTATTCGTGCCCCATCTTCGCTCTATTGGCGCACTCATTTGAGTGTATAAGTAAGTAAATAAATAAACAAATAAATAAACAATTATGTTCAGATCACATATTTTGTAGCCAAAAGTATTACTCACATCGTTTTATTGTACCATCCATCTCGTTAAGTTCTTGTAATGAGTCGGGTAGCAATCTATGTAGACATTCCGTGCTTTTCTTGGGATCAATTTCGGGACGAAAATTGTAAAATCTGGGCAACAATTTTGCAGCTAGCATTTCCTAGTGATTAAGGATATGATATCTTTTGTTGATTTCTTGTAACACTCGACTTATAGTCATAGGTGGGATCGTTCGAATCTGGGGATTGTGCACAATTGATTTCAATGACGTTCAAATAAAACGATGAGTTCATGTCAAAATGATTCTGTAATCTTTGACTAGTATTCCTTTATGAGGTGCCATCTAACTTGTAGACAACAAGTTGTCGAAATACTGAATTTATTTTTATACAGCTTCATTTCATAAACCATGATTTTTAACACATACTGTTCGCTTAGAAATCACAATTCAAGTCTCATTGGGCTATTCATTATAAATATCACTGATACAAAAAATGCCATAAGGAGAATGTGAGTAGACTAACTTCACAAAGAATTATAAAGGAGTAATGATGCTCTTCAACTCACTATCAGAGTCAACCGTGCGTTGCGCAGTTCTCAACGGCACGTTGAGAGATCCTCAACGTACGCTGTATGGGCGGAGAGCACAGACGGCTCGAGCATGCGAGTGTGAATGTTCGCGCGAGAGAACGTGTCTAATCGGGCGAAACTGCGCAACGCTCTGCTCACTATCAGAACCGCGATATTGTGAAATGGCTTGAATATGGGAAACGCAACTGCATATATTATATTTTCGTCAAGATTATCGCGAACAGTTGTGCGAGATGAACAGAATCATTAAGAATGAATAGGTTCTTTTCAAAAAATTGGTGGCAGGAGGAGCACGACATCATTAGAGCACATTTTTCCGGGCAGATATGATGATATGATTCCCTCTGCAACCGAATTTCCACACAGATTATGACCAGAGTGAAAGAATTAATTAGGAATAGAGTCGGTTTCCCGTAGAAAAGTTCGGAACATACTGGCGCGCGCCTCGAACCGAGAAAAGCCTCGAAAACCACAAACGACATACATGAAATACAACTCACAAATGTCACATTCGCTCGTATATCTTGCGTTACTTACTAGTGTTGTATCTCACGTGCCTCGCTTGTCCTACTCTCGCGCTCATGCTGGGTTCGCTGCTCTAAAGGTATCTAAAAACTGCGTAACTTTTACAAGCAAACTAAAATCGTATTTCAACCAAATTGCTGCCCACCTGCTAAGTTGATTCACAAAGTGAATCGGAGCTTATTGGCCGCCGAGAATACCTATCGATGGTTTATGGCCCGTAACAGTAGAATATTCCTCCTCAGAAAGCACTTGTGAAACGTTTCAATCGTGGTACAAAACCGAGAGCTTTCTTTTCAACTTGGAAACATTTTCTCGGCCTCTCAATGATCCCGACTTCGTAAGATGGCTGATTACCTAAATATAGCAGGCAAATGGCAACACAGTCATTGAAGCGGTCAGGAACAGGTGACTGGATTAGAACAAAAATAAAGGAGGGGGAGAGTGCGTGTTTTTGTATACTCTACAGCTCAGTTCCTAGCGATCAGCACACGCTCTCAGTAATGTGGAAAATTCAGCAGATTGCTTACAGTAGCGAAAGGTAGCAAGTCGAAATCGACCATGCTCTCGCAAAAAGCGGGTAAGAACTAGTTATTCTGCAGCGATCCCTCCTAGCCAACCCATCTCCATCGGCAAGGGTTACAAACGAGCTGGTAATGTCGAAAGTACACGTCGTGCGTCCGCGCGCGACAATTCCAACAGTCGTTTTGAAACATTTGATCAGTGCACCTGCTCCCATCTTTCCGTCCAGTATATCCAGTAGTACAACTAGCGTGTTACGAATCGGTGACCGTGGGATGGAAGCGCACGTAACCTGAAGAGGAACGCGTGAGCTTCCTAAGCGCGAACCCCTAGGGAACAACTCCCAAAACCCTTGAGGCTCAGTGCTTCGCATCAACCTCTACTTCACTTGGGCATCCAGCCCTGATCGATACGTGTACTATGACCCTTAGCATATGGCTACACCTACTCCACCACCATCCTTCTGACACAATTGGAAATCAATAAACTGTTAAATACTTTGTAAACTAGGACTACACCTTCTTACAACTAACAACACACATAAACGTATCTTTATGGACTACTCGCTGTTCACCTAACGTCAGCTAAGTGTACCTTTAGAGGTTAGTGAAGAAGAGAACTCACGTCGAATCTCTACCTCGGACCCGTCAGTAGACCAACTGTAGAGGAAGAATTTAGATTTTAGATAGAGGTGCAGAATATAACGTCCAGGTTAGTTCTAAGGGCCCAAAGCCCTGCGGGGCTGCAGTGCGAATGTTTTGAAGAAGAGTGGATTGGCCCGTAGAAGAGACGAGAATGGCACCCGGGAGGGATCGTGATGTTGCTGTTGCTAACAGCACCGCACGTTGCCTCGCGATCACGAATACAGTAGATAGGGGTCATGACGGCAACTTGCCCGCAGGCACCGGCGCACCCGGGAATTCCCTTGGAGCGATCCTCGCGATTCGCGACATAGCGCTTGGACATGAAGCACCAAAAGGCACACCCTAGTGGCGTCGTGAAAATCAATTACCTGTCACGCTTTATAGGCGATTCTCTTCACTTGAACGAGTTTTATTCATTTTACAAACATAAAGCAAAAATCGAATTTTCTATGTGATTTGTCCATGCTCACCTAAAATATGATGAATCTGCAGGTAACTTCAAACACACTCAACTTCTGGCTGGTAGCAATCTTGATGAGAGCATGTACTTCATCGTTTACCAGTTGACGGTGAGTTTCATGAATACTCGACTGTACAGCGTGGCTAAAAATTAGGTGCCCAATAAAAACCGCTCAAAAAACATTCAAGAGAAAGGGGGTGGGCGGGGCACGCACCGAAGTAGGCGGAGTTTGCCAAGAGATTTAATGTCCGGAAGCAGTCCGAATACCGTGAATAGAGGATAATGGTTGACGAAGAAAAAGAGGTTGAGAGCCGTCGGATAGAATTTAGCTGAGAAGTCAGATATTTGTGGTATCAGGCCAAATTTGTAAATTTCCGCCGTACCATCAAAATTCGCCGCAGATCTGTGTTGTGCACGCAATGCGTGCGGCGCCAACTGGTACAATATATAAAAGAGTAACAGATCGCGAATAAGACTGAATTTGGCCACTTTGTATAATCGTACCCATAACAATCTCATAGCGTTTTTCCGTTTTGATAATTAAGACTATTGCAGAATATCTTTCCGGTTCAAGACTTTTTCAAAAAAAGAGACTTCGTGCCGGACCGATCTACGTGGCTGAAAGCCATCTCAGATCTGCTACCACAACAGATGATCAAGAACCAGCTGGCGTTGGCAGCGATTTTGCATGAGTATGAGCCAGCAAATCTACCAGGTATTTCCTTATTAACCTTCTACAATGTTAGCATGAGCCTAGTCAGACGGATATAGGTTCTATTCCAGTAGTGGGATAATCCCAGCATTGTAGAGCATTTTTCGGTCAGTAGCGTGTTCTATACACGGTCTCTACTGAGGCTTCTGGCTTCTTCTCCTTGAGTACATCAGAATCTATTCATTCGGAGCGGGAATTGTAGTGAGTAGGTGACTGCAGTTGATAATATCAGTGTAATAAAAACTCTCAAACAAGAAAGTTGTCTAGTAATTGTAGATACCGTTATTACCTGTCGCGGAACCGTAAGGGCAAGGGTACCCTTCCTCCGCCGGACCACCCTCCAAGCCTAGTTCTCGGAGCGACGATCCTGGATCCATTTATCTAAATTAGAGGGGCCTGTCCTGAGCGGGCCATCTTAGGATCCGTGCCATCCCCGCCCCTATGTATCCTCGCAAAGCGAATGTAAGCGCAAGCACAAACATCCGATAGACTGTATGGTACAGCGCACAAGTCGAGCCCTCGTCCTAACGCTCCCTTACCACCAGATTCGCACACAACAAGTTAAGAAATATAAATATATTTGTAAGTGTTGACAATGTTCCCGGAGGGTCCTTGCAGTAATCCCACAGCACGGTCTGTCTTCTATCTGAGATGCCAGGGTGCCTTACAGCCGACCACACCATCGGGTCTAAGCAGGAAAACCTCAAAAGGGTCGCATGACATAAACGTGTCGATGTTTTGCCAAGGCGACTACAGTGCGCCGACCGCACTGCAGCATACGCCCATGAGGTGTTCGTGCATTCATGTGTCGCTTTAGGCTCCTAGCGTCCGTAGCGTGAGGCTACCCCCCTCAAGGGGAAACACGCCTCAGTCGACAGAGGCGATCGCTGCTGACGACTGACCTCGGCTGGGGGCAGACCACTACGCGGCGCGCGCTCCTGCGGACGCCTGCGCCTGGCGTGACTGTTCGTGGAGCGAGATGGGTCGAAGACGTGCAGTTCGCTCCTGGACAACCGTGCGTACCGCGACACTTCCTTTACAATTGAAGCATACACTTTTGAGGAGTTAAAATTTCGGAAACTGTATTTCGTTTGTGTAAACGATTATGTATATAAAGCTTTACGAAGTCATATGCTACGTCCACACTACGAATGTACACTGAGAAGAGTACGACTTACAAAAGCGTTAACTGCAGCGCGATTCATTCATTAGGGTGGATAGTTTAGTTCGAGAACGTGATTGGTTGGATTCAATGGAGAAGATGCTTGGCGACTACCATTTTACTTGCAATGTGAACGAAATGGCTCTAGCACACTCCAAGCATGGTGGAGACACGTATTACTACTATTTCACGCACAGGTGTGACACAAAATTTACGATTGTGCTATAGCCTTGCACTTCTTGCTTACGATGACAGCTTTACAGGGCAACAGCGCAAACGTGGCCAGAATGGATGGGATGCTTACATGGTTATGAGATTAATTTTATTTTTGGTGAACCTTTCAATAAAAAGTTCAACTACTCCACTGAAGAGCAGGAGCTGAGCAGCCGATTCATGCGCTACTGGGCGAATTTTGCCAGAACTGGGTGAGTTGTTCTAGGATAATTGCCAGAATTTTGATTCCCTCGAGTCGGAATCATATGGATTTTAAAGACTTTCTTCTTTCCCAAACGTATCCCATCGAGATAAAAAACCTCGTAAATCTGATCAACGCATTAACGGCTTTTGATGTGACGTGAACGGCAATATTTCCCTCTAGCAACAGGTCTGACATGTCTCCGATATTAATTCCACTGCTATTGCAATGATAAAGTTATTTTTTCCAGTGATCCAAATAAAAACGAGGATGGTACGTATACAACAGATGTTTGGCCGAAGTATAATGGTCAATCAATGGAATACATGAACATGACTATTGAATCGGCGTATCCAACTCCACGAAGAACTGGTCATGGTCCACGGCGGAAACATTGCGCATTTTGGAAGGCATACCTGCCAAATTTGATGGCTGCCGTTGGTATGTAACTGTAAGGCAATTTCTGGTAGCAATGTGCTGCATATAGTATGCGCAAGGGTTCCAAGTTATCAGAGTTCTTAAGGAATTGTTAAACTGAAATACTGTTCAACCACTTAATGACAGAATTTTGAGCTTCAGATTAGTGGAAGATACGGTGCCGGATTTTGAGGAGGTAAAAATTGTCTCCAATTTGTCTTCCTCTCATCTTTTGCTGACGCTCATGTTCAGTTCAAACTCACTTAGTAGTACTGTCTTGTAAATCTGGTAATGATCTAAATATGAGGCAGTTAGAAGGGAACAGGTCAGTACTGCATACGGAGGCAAAAGTTCCAAGCAGGGTCAAGCAGAGGCGCCATGAAACAACCCCTCTTCACAAGCCATCAGAAAAGAAAGCCATAAGAAAAGAAAAGTTCAAGAGGTACAAAACCAGAAAAAGTCAAGGTAGAATAATTATCAATGAGGCCTCCAAACGAGCAAACGAGAAGTGGAGCAAAAAACGACAAACTCGTCACAAAAAATGGCATAATATGACAACATCTGTTTTTTACTTACTTCATTTGAAAGGCCTACCAAATCTTATTACTACACAAGGTATGCTCTCAGTTTACACGTTCCCTTTCGGTTGAAAAAAGCAAGCCAACCGCCGTAGCCAACTGTGTGTTGACTGGTCTTTAACATTGACCGTGGAGCAGCTTATCTACCATTGAAATTTGAACACACATTCAAATGACTATAACTTTCTTAAAAGTAGACTATTTTTTAATCTGAAAGCAGATTTGGAAGTTTTGTGAAGAGCTCATTCTAACAAGTATTGAATCACGTTTGGGATGAGTGCGAGTTTTTTTCTTTTCCGAAGCCATAACTTAGTTCATTTCCATCAAATCTAAAAATTCAATATGGCATACAAAACTAGAAGATTTTTTCTTTTCAAGGATCACCTGAACAGCTTAATACATCCACTATTTCACAAATAGCCACTTTGAGGATTTTCGCCCGAGTGCCGCCGAAAGGTCTCGCTGCATTGGCGCTACTATTTCAACGACTATACTGCTTCTGTCAGGGGCGATTTTGTACAAAAAATAGAAGCAGATTCGGGATCCACGAGCTTTTTTCTTCCTGACAGGTGTAAAGTTGTTAAGCGTTTCTCAACTTTAACGATTACATGCTTATGAATTTGACACTGAAGGCTACATTTCTTGTTGAATAGTGAATACCTCCCTCTAACCTCACACCAATGCTTTCACAATCCTCTTGATCTTTCCTGAATTAGGATTCTTTCTCCAGCTGTAGCTGATGTGCGCGGAACTGACTGGGTCTACTCTGGGACGCGCCGTATGCCTCACATCCCTCCAGATTTGAGGGATCACTTGAAGGATAAAATATCTCTTGGAAAATGTGCGATTCGGATCTTCAAACCCTGTCGTAATAGATCATTGGGGTAGTTAAGAAGCGGCGGACACCTCTGAATCACGAAAATTTTATGTGGCGCAATCACATTGTTATTGGAAATCCTCTGGCCTTCCGTGGCATCGATCCTCGAATTTGTCCTCAGGCAGTGCTTATCGTACTGCATCGATCCCGCCTGATCTCTTTCTCCCAACGACTCAATACGACTCCCCCCCCCCTTTCGACGTGTCGAGGATTCCTGAGCGCACGCTTGACCCTGGTCCCAAATCCCATTCCGTTTCTTTGCTGAATGACTTTCGCAACATACGCTTGACTAGGGTGGAAGGAATTCTGCAATGGCTGTCTTTATTTTGCCAATGCAGTGGTGAACTTCGTTTGCTCATGAGTGCCATATTAGCGTAGTCACTGGTTCAGCACTCTTGTGGCAGAATTGTACCCAATCCACTGCCCGTACGAAGGGGGAGAAAAACGGTCCATCACTAACCATGGCAGAGGTTGTCAGTGATGCAGGGGTGAAGAGAAACCAGAACCAAAAAATGGGTCGACTTTTTCGTTGATCCACGGATTAGGCGTATATCATCAATGCTGATTTCATCAAACTTAGAGGGGTTACTATCGGTTACGAGCGCCGCGGGTACGGCCCTGTTGAGTCGCATAATTTCAATGCGAAACACACATCCTGCACCAAAGTCCGCCTGCATTTCCACTAACCATAAGTATCTCCCCTTCTTCGATCTCCGATGTAGTCGTAGAATTCTACTTAAAACAACCCCTTCAGGGTCTACAAAAGAAAGTGAAGGTGAGAATTTTTTGAGAAATACGATTCCATAACAAGTGCACAGGTAACAAGCTCCAATTCAGACCACTATTTTCTGAAAGAATCTAGAGATGCATAACACACAATTGCAAATTGAAAATATTTCCTCGAAGGATACACTTTTTTGAAATCACTAGACAGAGAAAAAGTTTCTCGAGATTTTTGCGACACCCTAACACACTAGTGATGACAAACAACATTGCTAACTAACGTCGCTTTTGAAGCCACAGTTTTGAATAGGGCAGATATGCTGAACTGAACCAGGATGGCGGCAAACATAGTAAAAGCTCGTAGCATCCATGAACCTTTTTACACTTTTCAGACCCTACTCATTATGCGGGGAATCTTTTGTGATGCTACAATTTTCAAAACTGTAGATGACTAATGTGAATTTTTCAGCCGACGTCGGAGATCCATTTTTGCTTTGGAAGCAGCAAATGGACAAATGGCAAAATGAGTACATTATGGACTGGCAGTACCACTTTGAGCAGTATAAAAAATATCAAGCGTATCGTCACTTAGATTCTTATTCATGTGGTGGTAGGCCATAATTACGTTTTCTTTGGCCGCTTCTCCTTCGTTTACCTGTATGACAGAAAGTCATTAACAAATTGAATCACTCTCAGGATGAGTGAATAATAATTATTCTTGATTTTACATTATGCAACTTTTCTCTTGGAAGTATTTCTTGAGGGTTACACAAATGTATGGTTTCTACGACACTACACCTTCATGTGTTTGGCTCATGCTTGTGATCACTTTTTACATGTGCTCTCTTCTTTCTCTCATAAGAACGGCTAGCTGAGTTAGTCCCCGCTCCCTTCTTCGTTTGTTGCCAGTTTTGATGTACACTACAAATATGTTATATTCTCCGAAATATGATTTCGAGTAGATTTATATATGATGCATTTCGTACGGGTTCATCTTGCCTTAACCGCAATAGCTATAAAAATTTAATGATTGAGACAGTTCTTTGTGAGAAACGCTTTCATGAGTTTCAGGATAGCTTCTGTTCAAAAGGTCCGTGTGGACATGAAGACCTCTACAGAGTTAAGCATGAGTATGGTAGCAAAATAATAGTGGCCTATATGAACCAAAAAGTCGGGACGGAATACCGACTATAGCAACCTATGTCCATTTCTTATCAAACTGTTTTGACATTTCCTACCCAGAATGACATTCCATGAAAGTGGCAATTTCCTTCGAATGAACTTCACGGGAATTTACCCTTGCCCGCATGACAGGCACAGAATTTCATACTATGCTTTTTGAGAGCAGATTTCTGTGGTTGATCCAGACTTGGCTGTTTCGTACGCTCCTTCAGGTCCGATATCTCACATTTACATCACATCTCCTCGATTCACCACATCCAGATTAGAGGTTCCAGTTAGCCATTCCTACATAAGTCGCTCGGTGAAACTCCAGTTCGGGGGGGGGGCACTCCATTGCTATCTTATCCGTAGTACTAGAGAGCAGTTCTTTGGGCTATCGAACACTAAGAATAAGATTAATAAGGAAAACGACTCAGTTCGAGCGTGCTTTGATAAAGGACGGTGGAGTTCTACATTCCACGGTTCTACTGACCCACATCCCATCACTTTTCTGCACAGGTGATACTGGAGCTCTGCCTTAGCCCTTCACGGAGGTGTGGTGCCCGGTCCAGGACGTTCTTGAGTCATTGGAGGCGGTAATTGTTGCAACGTCAGGGGTTCTCACCGATTACACGATATTTAGCCAGGAAGTCTACATTAAATGAATGAATAAATGAGATGGATTAGGTGTGTGTGTGTAGTTGTCCTCTAAATATTATGTTGAGTGATTGGTGAAGAGATATATGGAGTGGCCCCCTCGAACTGGATTTTTCACCAGTCGTCAAATGAGCTCTGCAGACTCACGGAAGTTCGAAACCGTGAGTCACAACACCGACGTGTTGGTCGGATAGAGTTGTGTGTGTATGCCTGCAGAGTGAAGTTTGACGACAGTTTCTGTGTGTTGTGGCGTTTCGTTTCGCAATGATCTTCCACTGCAAAGTCGAGCAAACGGGGAAGATCACAAAGTTCCCGAAAAGCTGCTAAATGTCAAAACACTTGCCGTATCATAAATACCATTGGCGCCGCACGCATGCACTGCGCGCAACCACATCTGATGCGGCGAATTTTGATGGTGCGACGAAAATTTTTCAAATATTGGCTATGATTACAATACGCATATCCGATTCCGCTAAATTCTCATGCTCTCTTTCTTCGTAAACCATTATCCTATTTTTCTCGCGTGCCTGCGAAAATTGCATTTGGCTCCCTTCGTTTCGCGACCTCTACCCCCGTTTCACTGGTCTCTGGACCTCTTGGAACCGACATTACAGGCACTTTTGGCAAACTCGCGACCTAGGTGGTGCTCTCCCAATAATAGATTTGACCTCCTTTCCTTCGACCGACTCTATCCTTTTTCCAGCTCTCTGGGACTTCTGGGGCGGGTTATGAATTTCGTGGGCGCAATACTCCGGCCCACTTTGGTCGACTTGTCCTCCCACCATTGACAGCTGGCCTCACGCTCATTCCCCTCACCCCCTTCATACACCTTCGCGGCCTCAGGGACTTCTTCAGGAGCAAGTCATGATATTTCGTGCGCCAAACTCCGCCACTTGGCAAGGCCGGCCTACCACGTGGCTTTGACCTCCACCTTTCCCACCCAACTATATCTTCTTGTTCCCCACTCTCGGGACCATTCTCGAAAGAGTTCTAGATTTCGTCGCAAACTGCACCCACGTGGTGCAAGTCCGCCCACGCTATGATAGCTGGCCCTTCACTGGCCCCCCCACCTCATCCACCTTTTCCCCAGCCTACCGGGCTTCTTAGAGCCGGAGTTTTTAGTATTTTCGTCGCAGACTACACCCCTTTGCCGCAGGCCCGCCCACCAATGACAAAGCGACTTCAACTCGTCCACGCACTCCTATACCACCTTTTCCAGCTTCCGTAGCTTATGGAGCCGAGTTTATATAATTTTAACGTCGCAAAACTCCGCCCACTTTTGGGCAGGCCCGCCCTCACCAACGACAGTTAACCGCCAACTCCTCACCCACCTCTCTCACTTTTCCCAGCCTCCGGAGCTTATGGCAGCCGAGTTATAAATGTTCGTCGCAAACTCCGCATTTCGTCAAGCCAGCCCATGATAGGCTGGCCGCCACTTGCCTCCATACAGCTCTTATCCACCTTTTCCGGTCTTTAGGACTTCCGCCGACTACCGAATTATGAGGGGCTTGGGAGAAAAGATGCTGTACTCAGAGCGCGCCCGCCATTCTGGCAGGCTCCGCCAACGTATGTATGCGGGGAAACAACTTAGACATGTCTCCCTACACCGAATGTTTTCGCTCTGTAGGCTTGCTCCCAACCGAGATGAAATTTTCATAAGCACTGCTTTTTTAGAGAACGCCCCGCCACGGGGTGGGGTCCCCTAATCGAGTTTTACTAACAATGCACACCTTAGGCCACTTTTGGCCCAGTTTCGAGGTCGTTTTGCACTGAATCGACATTTAGTCTTTGCTCAATTCATTCGAGCACGCCACGCCCTCTGTGGGCGGGGCTCGCTTAGCTGAACGTGTGTTTGTATTACGTGAGACCTGCCCACCCATCCACAACTGACCGCGGATCCCTCCAGGCGGTCCCGAGGAGCTAGGAATTTTGTGACAGACTACAGAAGACAGACAGAGGGCAGAGGGATCAGAAACGACAGACGAAGCCGCTTTATGTAAGTGGATAAGGTCACCTAAATTTTATTAGCTATTCCAAGTTGCGTGGATTTCTGAAGAAAAGTGCCGCATATTACCAATAGATTCCCATAACGAAAAAGGCTCGATACTGAATTCCTAGATAATCTCGAATCCTAGAATTAGTGAAATATCTTTTTTGGAGCGTATGGTTCACCGGGTTCGCAAATATGACTACCATCACTTGTGGGCGAGAAACTTTATTACAACAAAAAGTCATTACACCTTTCATAATGAATGGGCTCCATTGGTATAAGGGACACAATCAATACGTTTTAGAATTTTTGTAACCAAAGTTAGCTATTATAATGAGATCGAAATTTGTGTGTGGGCCATAATGACGTTTTGTGTGGGGCAGGCGTCTTCCACCTGTACCGTGTGGAGTTTATGCCGCTGGAAAACTTTTTTACAGATAGGCGATGATTCCATTAAAAATCTGGTTGTAGAGTAC